CATCGTTTATGCATCTGGCATATTTATCAAAATGCTGCTAAACACTTGAGTCATGTGTTCAATGCATCCGACCAATTTGCTAAGGATTTTAGTGCATGTGTATATGACTATGAAGATGAAGAGGAGTGGTATAAAGGTTGGGATGATATGCTTACCAAGTATAATTTGAGAAATAATGAATGGTTGGAGGGGATATTCTCAATGAGAGAAAAGTGGGCTATGGTGTATGGGCGTCACATGTTTACAGCTGATATGATGAGCACTCAGCTTAGTGAATCGATCAATAGTGTGTTGAAGAAGTATTTGAAGCCAAAACACAATATGGCATACTTTTTTGATCATTATGCTCGGTTGGTAGAAGATAGAAGGTATCAGGAACTACTTGCAGAGTTCAAAATGAGGGACACCATCCCAGTGTTACAAGCAAATGTTGAGATGTTAAGACAAGCTTCAAAGGTGTATACTCCTAAAGTATTTAAAATGTTCCAAGAGTTTGTCAAAGTTTTGGACTATACTATTGATAAGATCAACAAAAACGAAGTCCGGGTAGAATATAAAGTGAGATATGCAGGTAGAGGCACTGAGCACTTTGTCCAGTTTGAGTCATCGTCTCAAGCAGTTGATTGCAGTTGCAAGAAGTTTGAGTTTGTGGGAATTCTATGTACTCATGCTTTGAAGGTTCTAGACAAGAAAAATATAAAGCAAATCCCAAGACGATATATATTAAAGAGATGGACAAAGGATGCAAAGGATGGAGACCTAAGAAGTTCAGTTCAAGTGCAAGGAAGTTCTGAGAAACTTATTGGGAAACGTTACTGCAATCTACATTATAATTTTCGAGAGATATCTACATTGGCAGCTGAGAATGACGCAATGTATGAGCATGCAAGTGAAGTTTTTTCAAATTTGCTAAAGGATTTGCAGGGAATGAGAAAATTTTCAGATGTTGGAACTTCTCCTGAGGAACTGTGCTCCAATCACGAAGAAGACCATCGAGTTGTAGCTGGAGTTAAAAAAAAAGCGACAGTAGGGCGACCAAAAGGGAGGATCAAAGGTGCATTAGAGCTCCGAAAAAGTCACAAAGTTCAATCAAAACCACAGGTTCACTTCGATCTTTCTTTCCTTTTGTAAAATATAACTATTGTACTATCTTAGTTCATTAACCTGTCGTTATGTAATACTATATGTACAGGGTAAGAAGCAGAAAACTAATTGTTCTCAACAAGCTGCTGGAAGCAAAACTGAATTGCAAATTCAAAATTATCAGGTTTTACTTTGTCATTATATTTCGAAGTACTCTAAATGCGATCAAATGAATGGACTATAGGTGAACATATCCTAATAATTGTATATCTAACAAGTGTTTTAAATTTTAGGTGGAACATGAGTCTCAAAGTTCAATTATTAGTCCACCAGGAGAGAACTTGGATTCTACAATTTGTTTGAACAATATATCATATACACAATTGCTACAGGTACGAAGTTAGTCCTTTTATCTATTTTATTTGATTTCGTTAAAATGTTACTAATGTTAATATTATTGTTATCGTAATTAATTTTACAGGATGCAATGAACTCTCCTTTCGATGATCCGCAAGAGTGACAACCATTGTTCTTCTATAAATATCTCAAGTAGAATAAAGTGACATTAAGTTTTTTCCATTTTCGTTATGTTTCAATACAGTAGTTGTTTAGACTTACATTCATTATTTAGTGGGGATCTATGATGTATCTAAATATTTTTATCTGGTACCGTTCACCTAGAACAATTTAGTTTCCTATGTCAGACAATTTTTTGGAACTTTAAATTCTTATCTATTCCAAAATCTTGTACGAGAGCAAAGCTAAGAATACAGATGCTGCTTTTCGGGTGACGTGTGACTACCGGTGCTTGCTGCTAGTGCTAGGACAGCGACTGAGGCCATCATTCTAGCTTTTGCTTTTCTTTTTTTTTTTTTGACAGGAAGCTTTTGCATACTACTGCTTCGGTTGCATCATGCATGCGAGTAGTAAAAGTACTAAAAGATGGTGAATTGATGTGTTTATGTCAGGCTAGGGAATGGCAGATAGAGCCAACATTTTATGGATGGGAGGGGATGTCATGGGTTGATGACGGCTCCGTTACCTCTCTCCCAAACCTAAACTAATTGACATCACATTTAATAATAATAAAAAAATAAAAACTGATAACCAATAACGGGCAGACATGTGGAGGGGTAGCAGCTATTGGCTGCATACTGGGATGCTGCTAAGTTTTTCCCTTTTTTTTTGCATCCTCTGACTTTCATTGGGGAAGTTTGCAACGGGGACACAAGTAGAATAAATTTGGGTTCATATGTTGGAATAATGAAGAACAGGATGAACAAAACAAGGGCAAAATAGAAATTTGGCATTTTTCATTAAAAACCCATATCCAATTACAAACGAGTTATTTGGTACAAATCCTATGTTTAAATTTCCTGGGTTTTTAAACGAGAGATTTTAACTCAATTCTCTAACAAATCCCTCGTATTAAAATTCTGCATCCAAACGACCCCCTCGTGAATTGTTGATGTGTGATTAACCTAAGGTGTTACGTACACCTCCTTTGAGACTCAACATTCTCTTTGAGGTTTGCCACATAATTGTTCAAAACGGGATACAGAGACTCTGATACCACCTATAATATCTCAACAACTTTTCTGACAACGATATTGTTCGTTTTGGGACTACTCCGATACGACTTTGATTGCGGGTGCATCATAGTGACTTCCCGAGAGACCCCTTCTATGTACTACTCCACAATGATCACGTTTAACTTTAGAGCTCTTACAAAAAACTCATCCACTTCATCTCAAATCGCGTATTATCGATTACAATTGAATCGCTGAATTGAGATTTCCAATTTCCTACATAATTTGACAATCAATCGCCTCAGCAGTCACTACAAGCATCCGACACCATACCACTTAGCAAAACATTAAAGAGAAGCCCGTTTGAAATCTCACCGGCCGGTGTCATGAAACAAAATTGAACAAACCCTACTAATAAAAGAAGCGTTTCACAAGTATATTTCTTTTTTAAGGCGACCGTTTCGCAACTTCAAAAAACCGAATTAAAAGACAAAATATACATATGCACACGCAAAAAGGTAAAAAAGAAGAGATCCACAAAACAGAACACAGAAAAACAAACGGGTTAATTGCATGATTGTTCAATGAGATTACAAAAAACGTTCAAGTTTGGTCACTCAAAATATTTAAATCCACTGGTAGTACTTTAGTTTATCGAAACCGTTCACGTTTGGTCACTCTCCGTCCAACTCCGTTAACTTTTGCTTACGTGACGGTCAACTCTAAAAGTTGACTGTTAAATGTGTGACGTGACAATTTAAAAATAATAAATTTAACAAAATTAAATTTTTTAAAATTGTCATCTCATTTCCACATCATTACCACTTTATTTAAAATAAATAAAAAAACTAATTTCTTCTAATTAGGATATGTTTCCATCTCATTTGCACTTCATTTCCACGTCATTATTTAAAGTCGAGCAATCAAGATGGAATGACAAAATTAAAAGTTCAAGCATTCAGCTCTGGAATTTACCATTCGATGACACCAAAGCAATAGATCCTGCTCAACACAACGCTCATCAAATGGAGAAGACCCAGTTCCTCCAATGGTCCAAAAGGAACCCCCAACAGATCCATTCGATGATCTCCGCCGTCGTTGCCGCTTCCATTGCTGCTGATTGCTGAAACTCTTACCACACTTTTCATCCTTGATTTCATGCATTTGGCGAAATAATAATTGGAATCAGGTTCAAAACCCCAAAAAAACCCATGAAATTAATTCAAGATTTGTTGGAGTTTGGGGCAAAAAGGGCGAACCTTTTCTTGGAGCAATGGCACCAGCCAGAGGAGCTGCATCTGACGTCATCCATGGAGCTGCACTTCCTCTTGAGGGAGGAAGAAGATAAGGGAGGCTTCCGTGAGAAGGCTGGGTGAACTGAAACCCTGAAGACGACATAGATCTCTGCATACTGTCGGTGTCCCCCGTCAGGGAAGAAATGAACGAGGTAGCAGCGGTGGAGATGGAAGGCGAATTCGAGAAAATGATGGTGGAAGACGGGACCAAATCGTTCCTCTCCTTCGCCACCGCGACCGCTTTCTGATGGTGGTTGGTCGGCAGGGGAGGCAACCGGTGAATCGGAGTCGGCTGGTACACCTTGAACTCCGAGCCACCGGAAACAGAGCAATACCTTTGCTTCGACGTCGGAGGAACAATCACCGGAGCAGAGTAAGATGACGGCCCGAGCTGATCCTGAACGATCTTCTTCTCCGACCGAGGAATGACTCCGACGGCGGCGGCGGAGGTAGAAATAGAAGCGGGAACGGGGGCTCTTCTGAATCTGGCTTGGCCGGTTCGATTCGGCTTGCGAGGAGAGGAATCACCTTCCTGAAATTATAAACAGCCAAATCCATAACCGCTTGGATGTTCCGATCATCGACGACGGTGGAGGAAGAAGAGGAGCCGGAAGCGGAAGCCTCCTCCCGGTAGAACTGCTGCTGGTTGAGCAGCTTGATTACCTCCTCCACGCTCTTGATCCCCCTCACCACTCCTGTAGCTTGGCCGCGAATCCGCCATCGGCGGAATAACCCATCGCTCCACAGCCCAACAAATGGACGCGGCAGCGACGGCGGGGTATGCTGCCGGCGGGTATTGATATTGGGGTTTAGTAGAATTAAGGTTTTTATTTATTTTAAATAAAAGGGACAATGAGGTGGAAATGAGATGTCAATTTTGAAAATTTTAATTTTATTTATTATTTTTAAGTACCACGTCACACATTTAACAGTCAACTTTTAGAGTTGACCGTGACATAAGCAAAAGTTAACGGAGTTGGACGGAGAGTGACCAAACGTGAACGATTTCGGTAAACTGAAGTACAACCAATAGATTTAAATATTTCGAGTGACCAGCGAGTCGACGACGCAGTGCCGGCAGAAGCCGCTCCTGATGACCGGCGCGGCGCTAGTCGGCGTGGCGGTCGTCGGGCTGGTCGGCTCCTGTTGCCGGAACAACTGCTTCCTCTTTCTCTACTTGATCGTCACGTTCGCCGCCATCGTCCTGCTTGCCCTCTTCACCATATTCCTCATCTTGGTCACCAACCAGAGCATCGCCCGGACCGTCACTAAATTGAAGGTTTACAATCTCGACGGCTGACTCTGTAACAAACGGACTAAACTGGATATAAATAGAAGTTGAGGGAGTGGAGTGGAACTTTGTATATGTTGTATAAAAAGTGAGCGCCAAGACCGTTGTAACAACTTTTGCCTGATCAATAACAAATCTACTTTCCCTTTCCCTTCTCTCTCTCTCTCTCTCTCTCTCTCTCCTCTGTTCTCATTCTTCTTCCTCTCTTCTGCTCTCATCTCTTCGAGATTCCTCCATTGCCAAGTCCTCTCTAAACCCAGGGCGTGACAAGGTGGTATCAGAGCCTCGACTTGGGCTCAATTTCAATCATGACGGCGACTCGTGGTTCGATTGATGATCGCCTTGCTGATCTCGTAGCTTCGACTTCACAAGCGCAGCTCGATTTGGACGCCAAAATCGCATCTCAGGCTACTCGTTTTCAGGAGCTGGTGACTCGTTCGAAGGGCCATTCGCAACAATTCGTCAACCTCACAGCTCGACTAGATTCCATGGAGGCCGGTACGGCGACGAGATTTACAGAGCTCGAAGATCGCCTTGATGCGCGTTTTGACAATTTCACAACGGAGATGCGTGACATGCTTCAGATGTTCGTTAATCTACGCCCACAGGCTCCCATTGCTGGTGCGGTAGCACCGCTTGCTGACCGGAATGGAGGCCGAGGCATTCTGCCGTTGCCGCCTCAAGGAATCAGGGGACTGGATCCTGCCGTCGTTCAGTTGCCTAGGGTTCAAGCTCAGTTTCCTCGTGCGATGGAGCGGGAGCACTTTCAGGCTCCGAGCCCGGGTAATAACCATCAACTGCCTCGTCTGGATTTTCCGTCCTTCAACGGCGAGGATCCGCGTGAATGGACGCGCAAGTGTGAGAAATTATTCGACATTTACGCGATTCCTCCTGATCAGAAGGTTGATTTGGCGGTGATCTATTTCCAGAGATGCGGAGATCTATGGTTCGAAGGGTGGAAGATCGGGCGCCATGAACTGATTTGGGAAGAATTTGTGGCCGCCTTGTGTCAGCGCTTTGGCAATCGTTCCTATGGAGGTGTGGTTGCTGAGTTCAACAAGCTCCGGCAGCGTGGTTCTTGAGCCGAGTATCAAGAACGATTTGAGGAATTACGATCGTTAATGGCGCGTTTCAATCCAGCGTTAGATGAAATCTACTTCATCAGCAGCTTTATTAGTGGTTTGGATGAAGAATTGAGGCCGGTGATGCACATGTGGAAACCTCAGACATTAGCAGATGCATTTCAGCTAGCACAGTTACAGGAGGAATCCAATCTGGCTCAACAGAAGAAATGGCATGGAATGCCTGGCTGCTCCAATATCACTTCCACCAGCAATTCCGTTACTCCTCGACGATGGGAAGGTCCTCCTTCCAAGCCAACTGGAATGGTCAAACTACCTGTAGCTCCTCAGAAGTCCAATGGTGCCAGAGGAGTGTGTTACAAATGTGGTGATCGTTACTTCTTTGGGCATGTATATGGAGCAAAGAAACAGCTCAATGTTCTTCAGGCAGGAAGTGAAGAGGATATGGCTGATGAAGGCAGCAGGATGTATGAGGAGGAAGTATTGGATCCTGGCTTTGATGTGGAACAGCCTGAATTGGAGGAAGTTTCAATGCAGGCCCTCAATAGTGGGGGATTGGCTAGCTCATTCATTGTACAAGGACGGGTAAAGAAGGAGAAGATTTTCATTTTGTTGGACACTGGCAGTACTCACACATTTCTCAGTGAGAAGAAGGCGAAGGAACTCAATTTCCAACTCGTGCCTGCCAGTCATCCCTTGCGTGTTAAGCTGGCAGATGGGACTGTGTTACTCAGTCAGTGGGTATGCAAGGACTTCAGCTAGGAGATGCAAGGGAAGAAATTCCAGTATGATATGCGAATTCTTAGTTTAGGATCCAATGATGCAGTTTTGGGACTTGACTGGCTTAGAACCATTAGTCCAGTCAAGTTTGATTTTGTGGATCTGAGACTTTACTTTGATTGGGAAGGACAGGAAGTGGTGTTGCAGGGCATTCATGACATGGCTCAGTGTAAGTTGATATCAGGCAAGAGCTTACAGAAGTTGTGGAATCGTTCAGAAATTGTTTTTATGGGTCAGCTTTGCAGCTTGGGAACCCTAACCAAACTGGAGGAGCTGCCAATACAAGCCAATGACAAGACACCAAGCCCACCATTTCTAGATTCAGTATTGAAGGAGTTCAGTGACGTGTTTGGCAAACCTCAGACCTTACCACCAGCGAGGGATTGTGACCACACTATACCCCTGCAACCAAATTCTCAGCCTGTGAATCTCAGGCCCTACAGGTACTCTATTCCTCAAAAGAATGAAATGGATAGACTGGTTAAGGAGATGTTAGCAGCCCAATATATTCAGCCCAGCAGGAGCCCTTATGCATCTCCAGTTTTGTTGGTACTTAAAAAAGATGGATCTTGGAGGTTTTGTGTGGATTACAGGAAGCTGAATGATCTCACTATCAAAGACAAATTTCCCATACCTGTCATTGATGACTTATTGGATGAACTCAGGGGATCGAAGTTTTTTACAAAGCTTGATCTGTTATCAGGCTATCATCAGATCAGGATGGATCCATTGGATCAGCACAAGACTGCTTTCAGGACACACCAGGGCTTATATGAGTTCACTGTGATGCCCTTTGGCCTCACCAATGCCCCTGCAACCTTTCAGGCATTGATGAACAAGATTTTCAGCCCTTACTTGAGGAAATTCATTTTGGTATTCTTCGATGATATTCTCATCTACAGCCCTGACCAGGATAGTCACAAGCAGCATCTGACAGCAGCCCTCACTGTGCTAAGAGAGAACACTCTCTATGCTAAGCCATCAAAGTGTGCTTTTGGTCGGACACAGATTGACTACTTGGGATACATTATCAACCAAGAGGGTGTTACCACAGACCCTGCTAAGATTGAAGCAATGGTACAATGGCCAGTGCCCAAGAATGTGAAGGAGTTAAGGGGATTCCTTGGTCTCACAGATTACTACAGGAAATTTGTTAAGAATTATGGAGTGATTGGGAAACCTCTCACTGATTTGTTAAAGAAAGACAACTTTGCTTGGTCAGATTCATCCCAGTCAGCTTTTATGACCCTCAAACAGGCTATGGTGTCTGCTCCTGTCCTAGCCTTACCTGATTTCACTAAACAGTTTGTCTTGGAAACAGATGCCAGTGAGGTGGGGATTGGAGTTGTTCTGTCACAAGAAGGGAAGCCTCTGGCTTACCATAGCCAGGCATTAGGGCCTAGAAAACAAGGCCTCTCGACCTATGAGAAAGAGTATCTTGCTGTGATATTGGCAGTGACTAAGTGGCGCCATTATTTGGAGGGTAGACAATTTAAGATAGTAACAGATCATGAGAGTTTAAAGCATCTTCTCGGGCAGAAAATCCATACACAGATACAGAAGAAATGCCTGGTGAAATTGTTGGGGCTTGACTTTGAAATCCAATATAGACAGGGTAAATTCAATCAGGTAGCTGATGCTCTCTCTAGACACCCCAGTTGTATTGGTATTCTCAAGGGTTACTTTACCACAAGTCAGCCATCTACGTGGGCAGTAATGGGGAGATAAGGAACCAGTTGTTGCAGCTGTTCCATGATTCCCCAGTGGGAGGTCACTCTGGGGTGCAGGCTAGCTATAAGAGATTGAAGAGATATTTTTGGTGGCCTGGGGTTAAGGCTGACCTGAGGAATTATGTTAGTCACTGTGAAGTTTGTCAGAAATGCAAGATTGAGAACATACCTTACCCTGGTTTACTACAACCCCTACCCATACCTGACCAAGCCTGGAAGCACATTTCAATGGATTTCATAGAAGGCCTGCCCAATTCCAGTGGTAAGGAAGCTGTATTGGTAGTGGTGGATCGTTTCTCTAAGTATGGTCATTTCTTTGGCCTGACCAAACCATATACAGCTATGACAGTAGCTCAAGTCTTCTTTGATGGGGTGTTCAAATTGCATGGCATGCCTACTACTATAGTATCTGACAGGGATGCTTTGTTTACAAGTTCTTTCTGGACTAAATTGTTTGAACTACAGGGAGTAAAGTTACATTACTCTACTGCCTACCATCCTCAAACTGATGGTCAGACAGAGAGGTTGAATCGATGCTTTGGAGGAGTATTTGAGGGAAATGGTTCATCTATGTCCACAGAAGTGGTTCCACTAGTTAACTCTTGCAGAATGGTGGTACAATACCAACTTCCACAGCAGCCTCCAATTAACTCCATTCGAGGCTCTGTATGGCTATGCACCTGCTCATTTTTGCATCCAGAACCCCCTTTCTACTTCAGTAGCAACAGTGGCTGACAGATTGCAGCAGCAGCACAGATTGGTGGATATTTTGCGCCAGAACTTGGCCAAAGCTCAGAACAAACAGAAACAGATGGCTGATGCTCACAGGACTGAAAGAACACTGCAAGAGGGGGATTTGGTCTATCTCAAGCTGAGACCCTATCGGCAGACCTCTGTTGCTAATAGGGTCAACCAGAAGCTATCCCCCAAATTCTTTGGCCCTTTCCCTATTGTGCAAAGGATTGGAGCAGTAGCTTACAAGCTGCAGTTACCAGCTGAATCATCCATTCATCCTGTGTTTCACGTTTCCTTGTTGAAGAAAGCCAGGATAAATGATTCTCTGCAGGTCCAACCTACCTTACCTGTGATGGATGATCAGGGTGTGCTCAAATTGGCTCCTATGGCTATTCTGGCTAGGCGTGTGATAGCTCAAGACAATAAACCTCTGAGGCAAGTTTTGGTGCAGTGGTCTCATCAGTCTGAAGAAGATGCCACTTGGGAGACCTGGTCGGATTTTCATGGAAGATTTCCAGATTTTGAAGCTCGAGGACAAGCTTTCAGTGAAGAAGTGGGGAGTTGTAACAAACGGACTAAACTGGATATAAATAGAAGTTGAGGGAGTGGAGTGGAAGTTTGTATATGTTGTATAAAAAGTGAGCGCCAAGACCGTTGTAACAACTTTTGCCTGATCAATAACAAATCTACTTTCCCTTTCCCTTCTCTCTCTCTCTCTCTCTCTCTCCTCTGTTCTCATTCTTCTTCCTCTCTTCTGCTCTCATCTCTTCGAGATTCCTCCATTGCCAAGTCCTCTCTAAACCCAGGGCGTGACAGACTCCGTCGCTATTACGTCAACGACCACAACTGGGGCAACATCAAGAGCTGCTTGATCGACGCCAGGATCTGTTACGGCATCGTCCCCAAAGATCATCCCCTCGTAATTGATTTCCTCAACAAGCGCTTCTCCTCTATCTACTCGCGTACGTACCCTATCCATCCATACTCGCGTATGGATGGAGCAACAAGCAGAACGAGTTGTGCTACGACTGCGAGTCGTACAAGGCGTCGTTTGTGTACAACATCAAGCAGCAGTGGAAGTCTCTGGCTATCATTAATGTCTGTGTTCTTGTACTCGCCATCTCGGTATATATCATCGGTTGCTCCAGTAGAAAGCATCTCCCTGGGAAGTACCCTTGACGGTCTTTCTCTCTCTCTTTCTATTTAATAGTTTTCTCTAAGGGTAGATTTAATCTGATTCGTTTCTTCTTATTCTTGTTAGTTTTGATCGTTGTTAGCTTGATTCAGTTGACCGTTCTTCTCATGCTGTCGGATTGTAGCACTTGCTCCTTCTCTTGTTTCAAATTCAAGGAAAAGGTTCGGTATTAATTAGTGCTATACTTTTGCCATTGAGCAGCACGTCAGGTTAGACAAACTAATATGCATCGACAGCAGCTTTGTAATTAACTAATCAGTACGGCAGAGTTGGTTCAGTAACAGGAACATGACATGGTGGAATTGTGATTGATCTCTCACTTTTACAGCAAGTGAAAATACTATATTGCATTTGCAGGTGGGGAATTTGTATAAGAAATTCATAGAAAAAGAAGCTAAGAATCAATGCAACACAGGTATCGACTTGCATGGATCATTGTTATGGATGAAATATGTAACCCAAGTTCATACACTGGTATACTAGCTAGTGTTTACTTCATTTGAGGAAAGTGCAACCGAGGAACAAGAAACAGTAAGCTACCAGCGACGTCATGAGTTCCAGTGTCCACGTATGGTGTAATACAACTGTTGGAATGATGGGAACGAGTATGGAGCCGCATACCCACCCAGTTGCAAGAGCTCCTAGACTGTAATATGCAGAGACAGTTTAGTGAGTTAAACAACTTCATGTTTCAGATGAAAAGACCGACTGATGATTCATATACTCACCCGATAACAAAAGCTCTGCCTAGGCTCTTTGTCTTCTCATTGAGGAAATATATGCACGCTGCCAAAGAGACAGCCACCTGCATCAACAAAAATAGCTCTGCTCCTTTAATACACAACATACAAGTGAGCAATCTCCATCTGAATTCAGAAACAAAATCTCAACACCAAAGAAAATCGATTCATCATCCAAGGCTGGCTCTATATATGAGCAAGGAGATAAGAAGGGGGGATTGCTGGAAGATGAATCTGAAAACAGGCTAAGGAACAGAGATTAGAGAAACAATTGAATTATCAACCATTTCTGATGCCAGCGCAAGATTGAAATGGAAACAAGCGTTTCTACAGTTGACAAACAGAACGAATACAACATAACTTGTCCGTTTAATCCATTGAAAGTGCGAGAATGCAAACAAAAAAAAAAAAACTTTCTTAATAATTGGCGTGCCACATATTTGAAACACTGGATGGTCCAGATTGTCAGCCACTACTATTACTTATCTCCTTAGACCAAAAATGCAAACATCTTGAGAGTTGACAAGCTAACATACATCAAAAGTCAGGCAATATAATTGCAGCATTAAAATAAATGCAAAATAATAGCTAACTTATGGCAGTCAAATTCCATCCAATCCCATTCTATTCTGACAAGAATCTCCCTTTCATGTGTGCCTGAATCAGATAGTATTCTTAGGACCTAGCTTTATGCAAACCTTAACAACGGGATTTCGGAAGGTGGGGATGCAACTGGAAAAACAGCAATAGGGGTTACACGAGGACACCAAACGAACCATTTTCCCTAACTATAACAATCAACATATCCAGTGGGCCACACCTATTTTCCAAATTAATTACACTTCATCCCCCGAGGTTAGTCCAAAATCTCTATCTCAAGGCCTCCATTTCTCCATTCTCCTCAAGGATTTTGTGATTCAGAACAGAAATTAGAATGTGAGTTTCGGATAAAAAAAGCCCCATCTCTAATCTTTATACACCATATTCATACTTTGCTAAATCTAACATCTCAGAGAACCAAACTAGCATCCTCGGTATAAGATAACTGGAGACACATTCGGTCATGGGGTTCATAGCAAATATAGAACACACCTGAAAAGCAGGTCCTCCTTCAGCAGAATTCATGATACTCCATCCACCCATAAATGCAAAAAGGAACAATCTTCTGAAGATGATATCCATTGGAGGCAGCTCCACAAAGCTGAGCAAGTTCTTCACCCAAGCTGGTGATTCATCCACTTGCTTCTTTAGTCTGGTTTTCAAATTAATCTTAGTCTTCCTACGTTGCTTGAAGCTGGTCATCAGAAGTCTCTCAAAAGCAGCTTCTATAGATTCTTCACTTCCCTCATGTCCTGAATACTGTTCCAAGAGAAAATTCCGAGCACCCCAAACTTCCTCCTCGTCAGCATAAGGGCTGACTCCCAGACGCTTATAAGGATCCCAAACAGTCATCCGAGGGAACTTCGGCACATTTCCTGCACAGACCAACACGCATATCATCAATCACCGTCTATATCAAACATTCAACAACCGGTCAAATGCAGTTCAACTAGAATATGGCACATTGTACAACACAAAAGAAAAGAAGTATCTTCATCACGCGAGGTGAACAAAGCCAAAACCTTCACACAGAAAACCATCTAAGAAACTTCTGCTCACAATCAAATTGGCTATCTCTAGACCTGTAGAGAAAGGTAAGATTCACTAATGACGAAAATCATCAAACAGAATTGCTAAAGAGCCGCTCTTTTCAGGCTGGTCGAGTTAGACTGGTATCAGGAAGATGATGGAAATGGAATTTTACCTTCATAAGGGGCATCCACGGAACACTTGACGACGGTAAGGCTTCTAGAGCTCCTGGGAAGCGGATTGTAAGACAAAGCCGCCGTCGCGTCATTCTTCTGTAGGCGTTTACTGCACGGAACCAGAATAAATTGGGGAAGACGAATAACAGAAGCAGCAATAATAAGTTAAGCAAGGTTCATAACGATAGAAAAAGATAGCTCGAGTTGAATTTCAACCGAGATTAGCAGAAAAGGGGAATGGAAAGGGGAATTGGGGGAGAGAACTTACAGGGTTTGGGGGACAAAGGGAGAGGAGAGATTAGGGTTGGAGATGAAGAGGGAAGCCATGATTGGTTCTCTGAAGTTTTATCTTTCAACCTCGTGAGGACCAGCTCCCGGCCGCCGGTCTTTCGTCCGGAGCGAAATTATGAAGGTGCCCCCGGCAGCGGGATGCCAGAAGAGTAGTAGCTGAGGAAGGGAAAGGCCAAATTAGGCTAAATTGCAAGTTTGGTCACTTGAATTACTAGTAAATTTCACGTTAGCCACTATAATTACTTTATTCCATCCGTAGTCACTTAAATTAGGTTAACAGTTCAGGTTTGGTCACTGGCCGTTAGTCTCCGTTAACTTTTGCTGATGTGGCGGTCAACTCTTATAGTTGACCGTTAAATGAGTGACGTGGCAATTAAAAAGGTAATTAATAAATAATAAATAATTTTTTAATAATTTCCACCTTATTATTACAATAATTAAAACAAAAAAATGTGGAAGGAAAAAGAAAACCATTGGCTACCTACATCGGCGGCCATTGTTGGGCATCTTGTGGGGAAATCAAACCCACCGCTGGCCACACTTTCACGGTAACCCACCACCGACCATTGTTGTCCCTCAGGTCGCCACCGATGACTCTGTAGGTCACGGAGCGGCCGGGTTCCACCTTCTCTATCTTCTCCGTCGATTCCTTCACGTAGCTCTGCACAGTTGCACGACACACAACAAAAAACAGTTTGGAGAGGCAGAGGAATTGGTTTTTAGCTACCAATTGAATGAATGGAATTACCAGGTCCGAGCTGGAAGAGTCGGATGCTGCCAGGCTGCCGTCGCCATGGATGTACTTGGCAACCGAAAGCATATGAGGGTTGATGTTGCTGATGACATCGTTGTCTCTGTACATCTCTCATGCTCTCTGGGCTCCCATGTTCAGCTCCACTTCTCCTCTCAAGCTCTGCATCTCTCTCTATCTCTATCTCTGTCTGTAGCTGTGGGTTTTAGTTTGGAGTGAAGAATGAGAAAAGGAGAGGGCTTTATATAGAGGGAGGAGTGTTTTTTCTGCAATCAGACAAGTTGATGATAGATATTATTAAATCAGAAAGACAGAGATATTAATCACCCGCAATTCTCTGCTCCCGCTACGACTCTGCAGATTAAAGGGAGCAAATTCCATCTCCATCTCGAGCTAGCTAGCTAGGTAGTCGTAATAAGAAGAAGCATATATATGGGCCCAAAGCTACTCAGGGGATCGGAAGGCCGCCCTTTTGCACAGTGGAACAATACAAGAGATCAGGTGATGAGATATGCATCTTCTAGCTTCTTGTTTTGCTTTTTGTTTGGTTTCGTATGTCGTTGTGTTCCATTGGATCTGGGCCTGACGACGGAGTTCTCCATATGATGAAGCCCGCCGCCGGTGGCAAAAAATGGAGTTCTGCTGTCACTTGTTGTTGTTGTTGCTGTCGTAAAAGCCTAGGGTTGAGTTACCGTGCAAATGTGGCCGGCGGTGGCTTTGATTTCCCCAGAAGATGCCCAACAATGGCCGCCGATGTAGGTAGCCAATGGTTTTCTTTTTCCTTCAACATTTTTTTGTTTTAATTATTGTAATAATGAGGTGGAAATTATTAAAAAATTATTTTTTTATTATTTTTTTTTTTTTAATTGCCACGTCACTCATTTAACGGTCAACTATAAGAGTTGACCGCCACATCAGCAAAAGTTAACGGAGACTAACGGCCAATGACCAAACTTGAACTGTTAACCTAATTTAAGTGACTACGGATGGAATAGGGTAATTCTAGTGGCTAACGTGAAATTTACTAGTAATTCAAGTGACCAAACTTGCAATTTAACCGCCAAATTATGAAGGGTCTTGGGTTGGGGTTAGATAGAGTCACAACTCACAACCCTGGGACAGGTTACGGTGATTACTAGTAATCACCGTGGTTACTAAGGGCAAATTGGGTATAACAAAAAAATTATTAATGATCTTTTTTAATAAATTATATTTTAGGAAATTACATAAATATATTAAAAACAATTTTTCTCTCTCTTTCTCTCACTTCCACAATTTTTCAGCTTCCTTCTTTTTCTCAATCTTTCCTTGATTTCGTTCATCCAAACTAATACCGCTGCAACAACAAAACAATAAATCAATACCAATCCATTAAAAAAATACTACCATTGTACAAAACATCAATACCATTCAAGAAATAAAAACACTACCATTTCACAAAACATCAATACCATTGCAGATTTAATCACTACCAATGCGACAAAAATTATACCAATGCGACAAAAACAATATCAATACGACAATAACACTACCACTACGGGGAAAAATGACTACCATTTAAAAAAAATCACTACGGAAAAAAATGACTAACATTTAAAAAAAACATACCAATCCTTAAAGATTGCTGGAGGTCTGCACGACAACCCTAGGCATGGGTCGTTTTCAGGTTTGGAATGTGATTTGAATGAAGCATGGGTTGCGTTTTCGGGAAAGAGCTGAGCGGCAAGAGGCCGACCGGCAGTGGAGGTAGTGGAGGAGCGGGAGAGTCTCGCTGTCACAATCAGCAGCAGCAAGTTGGTGCTGTGGAAAATCATATCGGAAATGGAGTCGGGAAGAAGATTAGTAATAGCAACAACAATACGGAGGAAGAAAGTTCGCTGCTGCTAGTGTTAGCAAGCCGAAAGGCGAGAGGAGTAGGTCTTCCATGAGCGTGACGGTGCTCCGATCGCTACCCATCCGACTGGTGACTCGCCCGTGGCCGGAGAAAGAGGCGCGGAAGGAGTCGTCGGACAAGCAAACCCTAAGCCATCATCGGGGAGGGTGAGAGCTTGCGGCTACGGCGGGTTTGGCCGTAGAAGTAGGGTTAGGGTAGAATATATAGAATAATCAAGTGTGATTCTTTTTTTTTCTTCCAAAATTATCCTGAGGCAATCTTAACCGTAAGATTAAAAAAAGAGGAAAGAGAAGAAAATAAATGGTGGATACTGATGTAGCCACGGTGGCTACTAGAAATTCAGTTTCCACCCTAACGCATTCCCACAACCCCTAGAGGGTTGTGGATTTGGCTTCCCCTTCCCTGGCGTAGATGACTCTTCCTCTTTGATTTGGCGGCCGATATTTACGTGGGGCAAAAAAGAGAGGTGTTGCACCGGATCCGCTCACTCCACAGTCCACGCATGACGACGCGCGATCTTCGGGTTTGAATGGGAAAAGATTTTTGGAGGCTAATCAGCCACCTTACCTGCAAAAAAAAGTTCGTTTGGCCATCATCCCTCTTCCCTCTGTCTGCTCCCAAAACCCCCCAAAAGATAAATCTCACAACGACGTAGATATGAGCACTTCTACTATGCTATATAGTATTGGTGCTTTAATGTACAATTTAAAGTTGTACCATAACATTAAATGTATAAGTTTAGGTTCTACCATAAAGCAATTTGTACCATTATGTTATGGTACAACTTTACAACTTGAAGTTGTACCATCACATAAAGGTACAAGTTCAAGTTGTACCATAAAAGAATTTGTATAAAAAGTATAGGTACAATCTGAAGTTGTACCATAAAATAAATGTACAATTTTAAGTTTTACCATAAAGACAAAATCCTATAGCACCAATACTATATAGCATTGTAAAATTTCTCGTTAGATATACAGTGTCGTCGGTCCCCTTTCCCCCGCATCATCTCGCGTTGTTTCGCTGCTGGGTTCGGAGGCTAGATCGTTGAGAGTTGAGGTAAGTCCGATGTATTTCATCCACGCCTTTCTTTTGGATTCTGTTTGATTGAAATTCCACTCAGTTGAATCTCCATTGACTGATTTGAGTTGGTCGTCACCCACCTGCCTTCTTGTTTTAAGCCACACGTCTTAACCCACAACTCAATTAAATTGTTCTTGCAGTGTATCGGCGCACATACTTCCGCCGTCGACCCTTGCTACGGCGGTTGGAAACACCACAGGTGAGGTTTCTGAATCCTACAAGTTTTTTTTATAATTTCCGATGACACATTGGAATCAAATAATGCAATCCTTTCTTTCTTGGGTGTATCGTTTGTTGTTTGTATAATGCAGTGGTACTTTGAATTGGTATCAAATATTAATTTGGTAGTGGTATTGGTAGGAGCTCTAGTGGTAGTGGTAGTGGTACAAATCTAACTAGTGGTACATGTACCAGTACAACTAGTGATTTGGGTACCAATAACACTAGTAGGACATGTACAAGTACCACTAGCGATTCTCTCTTTTGATTCATTCATAGAGTTGGTATTGTAAGTTTAAATCAATATTTCTAACAAATGTATTTTGGTTATTTTTGTACCAGGAATGGTGAGAACAAAAATTTCATGCGTCGTGTCGATGGTAGAACAACCTATTACGCATGGAACTCGGCAGGTTGTGATCCGTGAATGGGAGTCATCCAAGCAATCTGAGGCTCGAGGAGCTGACGGCTAGAGCTTTTCAGATGAGGGAGGGTTTACTCCATGGATATACGCAGCAGACCTAGCAATAGCTCTTTTCTCAAAGTATGCATTTGGTTTATGTATGGTGTGGAGTGTGAACAAAGATTTGCATTTGTTGGATTTTAGTTTTATTTCAGTTTCCATGTCAAACATATGTGTTGGTCAAAACGCGTAATGGTGGTGAACCACTTGCTTTGGATTTATCTTCGATTATGAGTTCTCTTGTTTCTAGTTATTAAACAGTGACCAGTGGTAGGATAGATAACTCTATACCGGTAATTATTACTGGTGGTTAAGAAACCAGGAGTGGTTACCACTACAAGTTCTTGTACCAGTAACTATTAGTGGTACGTGTACCAATAATGGTATCTGTATCTATACCTGTAACTATTACTAGGGTACAGAAACCAATAATAGTTACCACTATTGGTGTGGTACAATTATAAGTACCAGTAACCACCACGGGGTTGTTCTTAGTTGTGAAGCCACTGACTTCATTTTTCAACTTTGCTCCATTGTTTATCCTTCCTTACACCTAAAACATTCTGTGGACCATACTTTCTCGTCATCCCGCCTTGGACTCGAACAACCTTTCATTGGCAAAAGGTATGCTTCATAGCCCTTGTTCTCATATGTGTTGCTTGAAAATGCATGCATTGAATATTGCTCGTGTGGATCATAAACCACTAGTGGGTACCACTAGCAGAACTTGTCTTCCGCACCTAGTAGTAGTACACGTTCATGTACCAGTACCCAGTAACAGTACTTACCAGTGGTACATATGACTATCACTACTATATAATACCACTAATAACAATCTACCACTAACTCACTAGTGGTACCATTATATGTGGCACTTAATGGTACCACTAAATAACTGCACTGGTTAACCCTATCAAGAATGTTGCTGCCGCCAATATTCATCGTGTTGTCATCATTCTCTTCCAAGGGTGCCACAACCCGAAGCTCGAAATTGTTGCTTTTCTCCACGTTAACGTTCTCCTCCTTCTCATTTTTGCCCTGTCTCTTCGTTGACAAGGTCCTCGTCGTCAAAAAATCCTACATCGTCCACCATGATAACATCACCGCCATTCTCTGTCTCTTCAGCTACGGCATCGTCATTGCATATGTATGGGACGTTCAGGTCGACCCCAAACAAGCCAAGTTGTTCAGCTCCGACACCATCTACGTCGGCCTCGTAGTCCATGTTGTTGTCCATTGTAATCCGGCGACAGCGTGAAGGGATTTCCAACGAAGTATTGCGGGCAGTTATGGAAGGGTAAGATTTTAGGAATGGAAACATACGCGAGATGCAATTATGGTTAGTATCATTCCATCCCACAAATCACGCTCCCCATGCATTTATTTTTTAAATTTTCAAAATCAATCCTATAAATCTAGTTACACACAAATCCTTGCTCTTTTCTGAACCATCGGATGTAAAAAGGCCATCTACGGTTGGGAAGAGGGAAGCGAAAATCACAACCCCCATAGGGGGAAGTGATGCTATCCCACCCTGTCTTGGGTTTTATCTTGGAGATGAAGATAGTAGGCCCCTCCATATCTCATTGTATTTCCTTTTGTTTCTGTTCCATTTTTCTTTCGGGTTAATATGCCAATATGGTCTCTGCCTTTATCTAAATCAGGGTTCAAGAAGGCGTGCCTAGGCGCACGCCTAGGCTCAATTAGGCTCTAGGCGGTGGAGGATCGCTTTGACTTGGCCATATGCATTGTAAAAGGCGCTGGTTTTGCTTAGTAGGTAGGAATAGCGCTTAGTTTGCGCCTAATGGAGAGAAGGCGTGCCTGGGCGAGCTTAGGCGGTTAAACCCAATACTCTTCGTTTTGTCCTAGAAAATCATAAACTTGCCTCTTCCCCTAGAAAATCAGAAACACGGGAAGTAACATCTGTTGCCGCCTGCCGCCCTAGCTCTCGCCCCATCTGCTACCGCCTGCCGCCCTAACTCTCACCCCATTTGCTGCTCTCTGCGGCCGCAGGAGAAAGTCATCGATCACTCTTCTCGCTTTCACACCGCTCCGCTGCTATAGTGGGAAATAAAATCGAAACTCGCCAATTGTTGCTCCTTCCTTCTCCTCGGTACGTAGCACAAGCTTCTTGCCTCTATAATCACCTATTAGCAGATGATTGGTCACTATTTGCTTGTTATTTGTTATGTTAAGTGTTTACTGTTAAAAACTAGGCATTGCTAATTTTATATGCACTTGGATTATATGAATTATTCCAGAAAACAGCAAATATTTGAGAATTTTTCCATATATGCTCTGAACGCCTAGGCGCGCCTAGGCTACGCCTAATCGGGCAAGGCGCAAGTCAGGAGCCGAGCGCCTGCCTTACGCCTAGCGCCTTTTAGAACCTTGATCTAAATATATCATTTTGGTCTCGAGTTTTAATAATTACTAATACAATCCTAATTTCTATTCTAATGAAACAATTATACCCTAGTGTTTGAGTTGATACTTAATGGTACAGTTATTTAATTATTAATAACTCAACATAATTTATTGATGTGACTATCATGTATCTTTTTCCACCAAAAAAGCGTTCAAAATGTAAATTTTAATACCATTGCAAAAGTTGATGAAGCCTTGAATGTTATTGTTGTGACTCAAAGCATGTTGGACTTCAGGAATTGGATTAAAACATATGCAGTTAGTTGATCATAAGATCACTGGATCATGGTACACCTAGTAGAATCATCAAGAGGATAATCTCATTGCCATGCGTATTGACAGAGTGTTATTTAATGGTCCTTGGTTGGATATGTTCATCAAGCTCAGTTAGAACAACATGCCTTGGTGTCTCAGACCATTGTGGTCTTTTGTTGACTTATGTTTGTATGGTTAAAAGCCTGCCTAAGCCATTTAAGTACTTTAAGTTTTGGATATCTCATCCTCAGATGCTTGGGATGGTTCAACTCAAGGTGGGGATCCTTTCTGTCTTTTGTCTAGGAGGTTGAAGAGGTTAAAGAGAGACTTATTACACTCAATCGTACTCAGTACTCAGATATTTCAGCTAGGGCTAAGGAGGCTAAAGAGTTATTTACAGCAGCTAAGCAAATAGTCCTTTCGGATCCTACCCCCTGAGCATACTGGTGTGAAGAAAGAGTTGTCTCTCACGGGTTTTCAACTTTAGAAAGCAGAAGATTTTTTTATAAACAAAAGTCTTGAGGGTAGTGTGTGGTTGAAGGTGATTTAAATACGACCTACTTTCATTATTATGTCAAGACTAAAGCTAAAAGGCAGACTACTGATCCACTAATTCCTGATACGGGAGTTGTTGTGAATGATGTTGAGCGCATGGGAGAGCTAGCAGTCTCATTTTACAAGGGCCTATTTGGTTCTTCTAATCTAGAGGCTTTGGACATGCCCCTTAGCTTTTTCAATGACGTTCTTTGCTTAAACTGGATCTGAAACGACCCGACCTTTGATTTGATTAATTTCCATCCCGATTTCTTCCATTTAATCCTTCCTAGGATTCCCCATAAAATCCTAAAAATTACCTTTTTCCCCAAAATGGCAAATTACGGAATGGTACCCAAAATTCCTGAGTTTTACCAATTCGGCCCCAACTTCCAAAATTGCACAATTCAATCCAACAGACCAATTCCCACTTTCTGATTTTAACATTTCAGTCCAACTGGCTTATTCCCATTAGGTACCCACACAATTGCTATTCACGAACTAATCCTTTGGCCTGATAAATTACCAATTAGCACCCAACTTTTAAATATTTACCAATATGTCCTAAATTCTAAAATGACCAAATTGCCCCTAACTATTCATTAAATTTTTCAACTCATGCCATTTGGTTCCAAAAAAGATGGGAGACACTCCTCACCTCCACGCCGCCGTCGTTGATGTCTCGGCTCCGGCCACCGTCGCCGTCTCCCTCCTCCGCATCTTCGAGTCCACCTCCGTCCTCTTCCTGCTCGATTCGACCCCTCCATTGCAATTCCAGGTCAATCGTCGTAATCGTCCCCGACCTCCTCTCTCTTTCTTCGGTCGTCCTCTGTGTTGTTCCTACGAAAACAGAGAGGGCCTAGCTGTGTATCCCTTTTTGTTCTCTTCCCCCACGTTACTTAATTGAAGCAAACCATAAAATGAAACATCCCTACCTTTTTTCGAAAACCAAACCATAACTCAAACCAAAAACCGGTTACTCCGGAGAAACCCAAGCCACATTTTAAAATAAACAAACTGACATTATTTAAGAATTTTAAACAAAAAGCCTCAACACATAGGCAAGATCTCAATCTCGAACACTTAAAACAAATTAACACAAAATCTTGAACCTTGAATCTCCAGTACATAAACTCATAATCATTAACAAAATAATTAAACTAGCTCTAGCTCTAACTCCTTGTTGATTCCTTGAGGTCTCGTCCATGCTGGTGTGACAGCTTGCCCCGTCTTACTTCTTCTCTGAATCCACCTCTGCTAACCCTTCCTCAACTTGGTGAGTGATAAGGGGCCAGTCTCGTCGTTACTTCCTAAGGTCTTTGCCTAAGCAAATCTCCTTACTAAAACACGTTATTAGTGTTCATTTCCTTAGATGAAAGTCGTTCTCGCTTCCATCCTTAACACTTTAGTCCTTAATAGCTTATAGAAGTTCTCTACTACTATCTTAACTTATACACTTATTACTAGGGAATCACCACGTTACTTATCGCCGTCCGGTGTCCCTATCCTCAAGGCAATGGTACTGCGTTACGTATCGCCGTCCAGTCCATGCCTGGTCAACTAATGCGTTACGTATCGTCATCCAGTAGTGACCCGACCATCTACCGCGTCCAGTAGTGGCCCAACCGCCCGGGGTTCATCATACCAATAACCATACATCACATACATAGCACAACGCGTGCCTCCACCTTAAGTAGGCGGTGGGATGCCTCACACACACAATCGCGCATACTTGGAAATAACCAACATAACTGAAAAGATATAAACTAAAAGACCTCAACGGAGATTTTACCCCCTTTACACTCACCTCGAAAAGACGACCCTTCTTAATTTCCTGTTGATCCACATCATCATCTGAAACTCCACGTTCCAACTCCTCGTGCTTCGCCTCCTTTTGCATTTCCGCCTATTACGTATTTAGGCAAAACTTAACTCACTTATCCCTAAGCGTAACCAACCAAACGACCTTCAATTTGATTAGTTTCCATCCCGATTTCCTCCATTTAATCTTTCTTAGGATTCCCCATAAAATCCTAAAAAATTACCTTTTTGCCCCAAAATGGCAAATTACGGAATGGTACCCAAAATTCCTAAGTTTTACCAATCCGGCCCCAACTTCCATAATTGCACAATTCAATCCAACAGACCAATTCCCACTTTCTGATTTTAACATTTCAGTCCAACTGGCTTATTCCCATTAGGTACCCACACAATTGCTATTCACGAACTAATCCTTTGGCCTGATAAATTACCAATTAGCACCCAACTTTTAAATATTTACCAATATGTCCTAAATTCTAAAATGACCAAATTGCCCCTAACTATTCATTAAATTTTTCAACTCATGCCATTTGGTTCCAAAAAAGATGGGAGACACTCCTAACCTCCACGACGCCGTCGTCGATGTCTCGGCTCCGGCCACCGTCGCCGTCTCCCTCCTCCCCATCTTTGAGTCCACCTCCATCGTACTCCTCCGGCTCCTCCTCGTCCTTGTGATACCTCGATTTTGATTTAAGTTCCAATAGCAAGTACTAAGTGAGCTGGACCAATAGATTGAATTGAAATTTTGTCCCGCGGTGCAAGTTCGAGGATTTAAAAGGACAAGTAGCCACTCAAAGCTACTCGATGCTAACGAGTATGGGATAATATCTTTTGTGTCCAAGAGGAAAAATAAGAAGTGAGGTACACAATGCGAGACAAGCAACGGACATCATTGAGGGTCATATATCAAGAGTGAATTCTTAAGCCAAGGAAGCACGAGAATGAGGACTATGGAAGGATGAGTCCGATCAAATTTCGAGGACGAAATTTTTATAAGGGTGGAGGAAATCTAACACCCCAACATTTAGGTCTAGATTCGACCGAACGGTTGTATCGACGATTACATACGGAGGATTTCAAACGAGGAACAATAATAATAATAATAATAATAATAGTTGTTGTTGTTATTATTATTATTATTATTATTATCGTAATTACCACCAATCCCTCGTTCCCCATCAGCAGCAACAACTTATGATTATTATTATTATTTTATCATCTTTCCCACTCATTCTCACCAGCAGGAAAGGAAAACAAAAACAAAAAGGGCACAAAAGAGAGGCGTCTGAAAGAGAGAGTGAGGGAATGGGCTTGAGGCCCAAACGAAAGGAAGAAGATGTGTCAATGTCTCTGGGGAGATCAGCTAGAGGGGAAAGTGGAAAAGAGCGGCGGAAGGGGAGCTGTAGGTTCGCCTGGAAATTGTAACGGAAGCAGATAATTAGGGGTTTTCATTTAGATTAATTGGTGAGTAATAATGATGGTTTTCTTCAATTAAGTAACGTGGGGGAAGAGAACAAAAAGGGAAACAGAGCTAGGCCCTCTCTGTTTTCGGAGAACAAAACAGAGGACGGCCGAAGAAAGAGAGAGGAGGCCGACGACGATTACGACGATTGACCTGGAATTGCAATGGAGGGGTCGAATCGAGCTGGAAGAGGAGGGAGGTGGATCCGAACCAAAGTGGTGGCTCGTGGACGCAAGAAGAAGCCCGGGAACGCAACGGCAGCGAGAAATTTTATCGCCGAAGTCGATGCGGGCTTCAATTTCAGTGCTGACATGGGGAATGGCGACGCGGAGACGGCGGTGAGGACGCGAGTTCACCCTCCAAAACGATGGGGAGTGTGGGAAGTCCGGAGCTGGCCGCCGATGTGTGTGCCGAGAGGGGTGGACGGTGTTCATGGCAACGGCGGCGGTTTCGGGCAAAACTGATCTCGGGGATGCTGCTGTTAGAGGAGGACGAGGAGGAGCCGGAGGATTACGGCAGAGGTGGACTCGAAGATGGGGAGGAGGGAGACACCGACGGTGGCCAGAGCCGAGACATCGACGACGGCGACG